TCCTCCGCCCCCTCGCCGCTCCCGGATGCTTGCGCGATGCGCTGCTCCTCCCCCGGGAAGCGGGCGGCTGCGGGAGGACGCCGCCGCCCACCACGGACGCCGGGCCCGCCCGCGATCCCCGGGGAGAGGCGGGAGGGACAGGAGCGAGGCCGCCGGGCCAGGGCTCCGCGCGCGCCCTGGGGAGATGGGGCGCCGCCGCCTGTTGGCCTTACGTAAGCGCTCAGCCAGGCAGGGGCTGCACGCGTCCTCCCCGCCCGGACAGCGAGTCTCAAAGGTGACCTGTTTTCTGGGCTGGAGGGAGGAGGACACTGGATATCATCCCCCAGTGACTTGGGGACGTCCCCGCGTCTTCTGGGACGCTGTCCGGCTTCCCAAGCTGTCCCCCTGCCCTTTGTGTGATTGGTCCTCTCCCACGGCGGGGCCGAGGGGCCGGGCGGGGTTAGGAGTCGGAGGAGCGCGGCTGGATGCTGGCCGCTTCCTTTACCCCCACGTCCCTTACGTCCTAGAGCGCGGGCTCTGAGCCAGACTTCCTGGGGTCTGTCTCCCCAGCCACTTGAGTTGCGTGACCTGGTGCAAGTTCTCTCTCCAAGTATCCGTTTTCTCATCTCGAAAACAGATACTGTGCACTGACCACTTGAGCGCTTGGCTCATAAATCGTGGCTGTTAGAATGAGCCTAGATCGGCAGTTTACCCTCTCGTAACTTCCAGGTCTTCGGCTCCATAATGGGGTAATAATGGCCCAGCCTTTGGAGGAAAACGCGATCATCCCTGCCTCAGACACGGAAACGCTCAGATGGCCCGAACGCCTTCCTAAGGTCAAGAAGATGGCACACGGCTGGCGAGAAGCCCACCCAACCCCTTCGCACCGTACCCGGCCCGCTCATCCCGGAAGTGGTTGAAGCACCTGGGCTTCCTCCCCGCCGAGGGCCCCGCCTCTTTGTCCTGAAACGCCCGCCAGCTGCTCAGCCGGCACACGCTGGGCGTGTTCAGCCAACAGACAGGTTAGTTCCTCTGTCCCTGCCTAGGACCCGGGGTCACCTTTTTTCAGCCGGTGGTCAATGTAACTACTTACAACTAGCATGACCTTGCAATTTATCATCAAACCGAAACAGTTTTGAGAGCAAAGAGTGAGATGTGCCATTAATAAATTAACCAGGAACAAAAGCCGCAAACCAGAATGAGTGGTCACCCTACTTATAACTGAAAGTGCACTTGGGCACTTCCTAAAACCTGGATAAACCCACTTGTGTTGCAAACCAAGGCTAAGAAAACTGACGATTTTCTAAACAAGCAGCAAGTGTAGGGTCAATCCCTTTTATCTTTTTACGAGGGACACAGTTGGATAAATCTCGTCTTAACGTGGTAACCCAGAAGGAGCAGCCTACTCTCTCTCGGCTCCACGAACATCATGAGAAAGAAGTCCCGCCACCCCTCTGTGCCCACTCATCCATGGGCTGCGCGGGGGACCAGGGGTTCTCGCCAAAGCCACTCCCACCCCTAGCGGGCTGCTCTCCTTTTCTTCATGTCCGCAGCCTGTCTTGCTGCTGCTGCCAGGACCTTGTACCCAGCAAAGCGCTGTTACACAGACTGTCCCATTGTACGCAGGGACCTCTGGTTTAGCTTCAGAAATCTCACGGGATTGTTTTCTTGGTCCTCCCTGCCCCATTTTCTCAGGGTGGCTCCTCCTAACTCATCTTCACAGGTACCATCTCTGCCTTTCTTTAGGTCACCTTTACTTTTTGCCACTGTGCATTCACTCCACAAATATGCGTCCACCCCGTGCTAGGCACGTAAGGAAAATGCGGGCTCTATCCCTCCTGGAGAGTAGAGTTCAGAGGGCCACAGAGTCACGCGAACGAGGAATCACCATTCACTATGGGGACAGTGAGAGCACGGAGCGAAGAAACTATAGCAGAGATAACACTGCTTACCAAATAGTCCAGCTGCAACTCCCAGGGCCCTGCGATCAGCTCTGACCTTGAACGGAGGTGGAGGTGATTTGCTGGGCGAGGCAGTGAAAAGCCGTCTGCACGTCTGCGGGCTCTCTTCCCCTGCTGAAGCTACCCCAGTGCCTGTGCTCTAGCTGGCGCGTCTGGGGGGGGCGAGGCGTCTGTAAGCCTGTGGGACCGTGGAGCGGACCCTCTGTTAACCTGCGTTGAGCACAGAATGTGAGCAAAAGGTGAACTCAGCATGAAGCCAGTGAGGTCGGAGGGGTGGCTGCTGCTGTAGCATGATTTAGTCTGTGTCTGCCATAGAGCCGCCGCAGTAAGGGCGTTCTCTGTAGCAAACTCCACCCATTACCCCTTTAACCCTGTCTTAAAATTAAAATATAATGAGCCAAAGGTACTGCGCAAAGCGTTTTTCACTGAGATGGCAACTGAGTGAGAGAAGAAAGCTAAAAATATGTGGACTGAAGGAATGGCTGGGGGAAGTGGATGGAGCAGACAAGAGGAAGCTGAGACCATGCAGAAAAGGGTTCGGCCACTGGAGAATGTCTTCTCAGTGCCTGGCTCAAGGCCACTGCTCAGTAGGAGTTAATAAATGAGAACAAGATGCAAACAGACACCTGACCAAGGATCTGGGGAGGAACGAGGGAACCGACGGTGGGGAAACATCCTCTCCCTGCTTCCTTGCCTAGTTTAGACAGTGCAGCTACCGCCCGCAGGTGTGACACAGCAGTATGAACAGTCTGGCTTGCTTATTCAATATTCATAACATAAAGTTTACCATCTTATCCTTGGTTCAGTGGTAGTAAGTACATGCTCACTGGTGTGCAACCATCGCCACGATCCATCCCCAGAAATCTTCCATCTTCCCAGAAATTCTGTCCCCATTAAACACTAACTCCTCCTTCCTCTCCCTCCCCCAGCCCCTGTAAACCACCGTTCTATTTTCTCTATAAATTCGACTACTCTAGGTAACTAACTTATATAAGTGGAATCATACACTATTTGTCCTTGTGTGTCAGGCTCGACTTAGAATGTCTTCAAGGTTCATTGATACTGTAGCGTGTCAGGATTTCCCTCCCTTTTAAGACAGAATAATATTCCGCCGAGGTATATAGGCATGCTGGGTTTCACGCCCAACTTTCACACTGCACTCCAGACTTGGTGGACCACCAACCAAACTGTGCCTTGTCCACAGTGCCACCTGGCGGTCAGTTTGGGGGCGTTCTCTAGTGTACCTGTCCTTTGCATCAGTGTCTGTTTTTTTGTGCTCATAGATGGGCAAATTCAGACTCAGGCAACCTTTCTTACAGACAGGCAGACATCAACCTTTAATATTTTCGATAGCTCTCTTAAAGGGGAGGACTTTATTACACCTGGAGCACTTACACCTCCCCTCTCTTTTCCCTGATGTACTCATCCCCACAGGTGGTGAATGAGATTCTGACATTCGTGGGGCCGTGGCTCACTGGAGAGCAGGATCACTGTGACAGGTCACACCCCTTCCCGAGCATCTCTTCTTGCTCTCAGTAAGAACATGTGGGCAGGATCTCACCTCTCAGGCCCACAGCCTTCCCATCCCCACCTCCCTCCCTCCCCCGCTCCGTGTTCTCTCTGTTCACCTGAAGTTGAGTGGGTGGGGGAGCCCTCCGTGCTGGACCAGCTATACTGTGGTGGGCACACCTGAGCATTCAGCTCTCAAGATCTGGGAGATCTAGAATTTCCTCCTGTCTAGTTTACCAGAGGCCTGCATGGAGCTAAAACTTGCTTTCACAGATAAATTCTCCACCCCATTTCCTTACTGGCTAATAATCTTCGGATGTGTTTTCCATTTTCAAGAACCCTATACGGGAAAAAATTTTCAAGGCAATTGCACTATTATAGATCATATGAATTAAGTGTATTAAGTTGAAATTAGGCTTTTTTTATACCATGGTAGAGAGAACAGTATCAGTCGATACTCTGGAAGCATTGGTGTGTTTATGTGCACTCTCCCCCACCCCATCCTCAACTGACTCACAATCCCACTGCTTAGGGTTTCCTCTTATTTAAAACAGGGATATTATCATTATCGTGTCATCTCTTGAGGTCCTAAACTCCTGTTCTCTGCTGTATTGTTTATCTCTTCTGCTAGTCTGCAAAATGTTTAGTGCAGGAACCTTGTTATATTCACCTTGCCATCAGTGCCTCACCTGGTTCTTGGCTCACAGTACGCCCCTAGTAAATAAATTCTCGCAGACTTGAACTGAATCAAGTTCCAAATGCCAAACTAGCAGAAACGCAATCAATCTAGATGTTTTCACATCAGTGGGTTATAAAATGAATTTCTTCTTTAGATGAAAGTCAGTAGCCCTGGAAATTTTTATACAAGCCCAATGATTTCTGTAAAACACTAAATCGCTTTTTTTTTTCTGTATAACTAGATACTGTGGACCAGGATTCCAGCACTTCTGCACCTTCGCTTGGCAGCTAGCAAGATGAGTGACCAGGGTGACCCCTCCCAGCAGAGCACATGACTGACCACAGCTGTGCATGTGTTTTTAGCATGACTGCACCAGGACAGGGCTCTGAGCCACTGGGTGGAGCAATGGGCCCTGGGGAGAAAGCTTATGATACTTCCCCTATGATTTCAAAAAAGAAAAGGAAAAAGCCTCTTTTTCTCATGCGTTGTTTCTGCTTAGTGTCAATAGAAAACGCCATGCTGTGTCTACGTATATATGCATGCGTGAGCATGTGCTGTATCAGCCGTCGCTACAGCGAGAGAATGTAAACTGCAGTGCTCCTAAGAGCAAAGGTGAGGCAGACATTGTTAGCTGGTTGCCGTGGCAGCATCTGCTTCCTCTTTTCCCTTCATAACAGAATCCCAGTTTTATTTGGGGTGACGAGTAGAGCTAGAAGACAGTTTCCTGGCCTACCTTGGAGGGTTAGGTTCCAGCCAATGAGATGTAAACAGAAGTGCGTGCACTGTCCAAACAGGCTGCTTAAATGAAACTGACTCCATTGAAAGGTATGCTCCTCTTGGCTTTCCTTTCCCTTTTCCTCTAGATGAAAGTCATCTTGATGGCTGGAGCTCCAGTAGCCATTTGGAACTGGTAGTGACCTTGAGGATGGAAATCACAAGCCAGTATGATGGAGGCTGGATGCCAGATGACTGAGGAGCCACAATACTAGCCCTAGATGCCTAGTTTCCAGCCGCTTCTGTGAAAGAAAAATCAACTAATAACGACAGAGCCCTCTATCTTATTTAAAACACTTAAAAAAAAGTTTTCTGTTACATGCAACCTATTAATCCTACCCAAGCAAGGTGGCTAGTTAGCTAGGACTGCCGTAACAAAGTACTACAGGCCATGTGGCTCAAGCAACAGAAATTTATTTTCTCACCATTCTGGAGGTTAGAAGCCCCAGATTAAGGTGTCGGTAGGGCTCGTTTCCTGAGACCTCTCCCCTTGGCTTGTACATGGCCATCTTCTCGTGTTTTCACATGTCTTCCCCTTTATACATGACTATAGCCAATTTTCCTCCTTTTATAAGGACACCAGTCATGTTGGAGTAGAGCCTACCCTAACAACCCCATTTGAACTTAACTACCTCTTTAAATGCCCTACCTCCAAATAGTCACATTCTGAGGCCCTGGGGGTTAGGTCTTCAACACATGAAATGAGGGGCATACAGTTCAGACCATAACCCAAGGCGTGAATAAAGAGGTTTATTGTGGCTCTTTTTGTAATAGAAAAATTGGTCATAAATGTCCATCAATAGGGCAGGCAACAGGGAAATAAACTACTGGCATATTGATACCAAAGCATACTATACCTGTCTATGGAATGGAAGTTCTTCGTGTCATATTAAGAAGAAAACACTTAAGGAGCCAATATGCTTACCGATTTGCACAGTATGCTGCCGCGAACACGTATAAATACAACAAAACCATGTCTGGAGCCACTTTGGTGTTCATAAATGTATAGAAAAAGGTACACAGTATATGACAAACCGACGACCGGTGGGTGTGTAGAATTGTGGGGTCGAGTAGAACGTTTGGAACTTTGTAGAGGATATTTCGTAACTACAATAAGTGATTCGTGTGTTTCTTAATTAAATATCTAAAAGAAATCAGCAGACCAGCCATGTAAAACTTGAATTTCAAGGCACCTCTGGCCAGAAATTTTTTAAGTAGGAAACAAAAAAAACAGAATGATTCAACCTTGAAAAGGATGAGTCAGAGCCTACGGGGCTGTTCAAATCAGAAGAAATACTGATGCTATTCTAATGATGAAAAGTAATTAAAAAAAAAAAAAAGCTTTTTCGCGCTCAGGAGATGAGTATCTCGAAAGCTGGCGGAACTGAATCCTCTCGAACGAGCAGCAAGGTAGTGGGCCCGCTGGACTCGGGACCCCCCGAAACAGCTGCTCAGAAGTGTCCTCCAACGCTGCTCGGAGGCCGCGGGAGGCCGCGGGGAAGCGCCGGGCCCCGTGCACGGCTGTCCCGCGGCTGAGGCGGCTCCG